CTTTACAAATATTAATTACAGTACAAAAATAATTGTGGATATTCCTATAAGAAATCACTGAGTAAAGAAATGGCTGTGCAATCTGAGTACCTCTAGAAAGGTTGAAATTGAGTATCTTGAACTGCTCTTGAAAGTTAAGTGGTTCATAAAATACTACCGCTTCTGCCTTCTTTCCTGAGCCCGTTTTTTCTCTAAGGAGAAAAACATTTCTAGTTTTTCAAAATGTTTAAAATATTAAAGAGTAAGAGTTAATTTCTAATAAAAATACATCATTTTCAAAATTATAATTTTTCAAAATGGCAACCTAGTTCACCATCACCCAAAATAACCACTTCTGCCGACTTCTCAAGGAATCAAAGACAACATCTGAATAGCAAGTGCTGCCAAAGATATAATCAGATTGAAGACCTTGGAAATGTTTTGTTTTGTTCTCTAATCTAAAATTCCCACCTAATAGTCCTGAAAACCTTTGTTTTATTTCAGTGATTGTTCCCTTTACCCAGGAGCTTACTGCTCCTTAATATATGTTGATGAATAGCTTGCATAAATAACTGAAATTAAAATGATGGAAGATAGCCTAATAATATTCCAGACACAGATTTGGTCAATAGCACTTTGGGCCGGAAACTTTATATGGTGTTATGAACTCACTATATAGTTCCCAATTTGCTGCTAGCCAAAAAAATAATGTATCTAAACCTTACTTTTTATACTTTTGACCTTTACAACTTCTTGGAGTAATAATGTGCTCTCTATACCTACTGGAATCACATACCAAGAATCAGTGAATTCCTTTTATTGGTCTAAAATGATCTTGCCTTTTATCTTTAAACTGAAAGAAGGAGTTTCAGTATATCTCTAATATGTTGGTATTTGTCTATAAAGTGTGTGTGTATCCATCCTACTCAATAGCCCTCATTATTTTATTTTACAGACTTTGAATTACCAGTAATAATCTGAAATGCCTTCCCATAACAGACTGAGTTAACTAAATAAGGAAAATAAAAATCCCACATCAGGAGGTGTGAAATAACAGCAAATAGGCTACAGTGCTACTCTAGGGCATAGAATATAGCACCATTATTCTGGGAAATTGCAACTGAGAAGTTTGGAATTATATTAGGAACGCCTCACGTTTAAAAAGTATACCCAAATATACCACACTCCTTGCTCTTTGGTTCTGCATCATCAAGAAGTACTCTGATGGTTTTCTAATTGGCTGAGATTTCAGCTCATTAGTGATATCCATGGACAAATAAGCCTGTTTTGTTTTTGCTTTGTGTCTGTTTCCCTTTCATGTCTAATCTCTCTTCCTCCCTCCCCCCCTCCCTCCCCTCCTGGCCCATCTCAGTTCCCTGTTGTGGCCGTGGACTGACCACTCTTAGAGGTCAATGTCTGCTCCCTTCCTGACTAGGTTGTGGTTTTCTAGCCACTGTATATTTGCACATATTGCAAAGTCAATTGTCCTGCTGGCTTTTTATGAAAACCGCGGAACCCGCGTAGCGCTGTTTCTCCCTGAGGCAGCCTGCCTTTCTACATTTCTGTGTGTGTGTGAAAGAGAGGGTTTTCTACTACATCTATCTTTGTATCTAGGTGGATGCTGGTCCATATGTTTATCTGTGTGCATCTCTATGTATATGTCTCTATGTCATCTGACTCTCACTAAAAGATCTGATCTTTTCATAAGAAAGAAATGATGTTGTATCAGAAAGAGAAGCATTTCAAGGGGTAAAGGTAAACAGACAATCCCAGGCTATCTCTCCAGTTCTTAAATATATTGGGAGTACTGCCTCCTTTTCTTTCTTTTTCCACTAAAGCTCTACTAACACTTCACTTTCAATGTTGTTAATTTAGAGCAAGCATGTCAAACTCAAAGGCTAACACGGGCCAAATAAACAAGGTTTAAGTTTATGTGGGCCACAAAAAAACAAAAGCTTCAATTTTCATAGAACTGTAGGTTTATTTTTAAAAGTACAGTATTTAAAAAAAAAAGAACAAGAGCAATGATAGCCCTAACCAGTTTGGCTCAGTGGATAGAGCATCGGCCTGTGGACTTGAGGGTCCCAGGTACGATTCTGGTCAAGGGCATATACCTTGGTTGTGGGCACATCCCCAGTAGGGAGTGTGCAGGAGGCAGCTGATCAATGTTTCTTTCTCATTGCTGTTTCTAACTCTCTATCCCTCTCCCTTCCTCTCTGTAAAAAAATCAATAAAATATTTTTTTTAAAAAAGAGCAATGATAAAATTAATGTTTTCTTCTTGACACTTGCATCTCTTCTCTGCTACTCTTTCCTGCTTCAGGGGAAATCTTATTCACAATGATTACTTCAAAACTGACCCAAGGTGAATGTCCGTAATCCTGGAACTGACAGGAGACTTAGTTCCTTTCAAATTGTAAATACCTGCTCACACCATTATATTGGCTGGGCCGCAAAAATATTCATTGCGGGTCACATACGGCCCACCAGCTGCGAGTTTGACATGCTTGATTTAGAGAATAGTGAAATCTTCACTGAGACGAACTCGATCTGTGAGAATTCTGAAGAGCATTTTCTCTGTTAATCTCAATTAAACAATTTCTCAGAATGAATTTATTTCTCTGCCAAATCATATAGGAATGGCAACTATGGGATACTCTCACATGAATATGTAGACCAATTTAATACTGTGATTCTTATTTTCCAGGGTTCTTCCTATGTAAGTGGTTCTGAGACTTTCCAGTACTTATTACAGACACCTGTACATATACTGACCTTAAGTATCTAACACATTTCAAACACAGCTCAGAGCTTTTGAGTAGTGGTATGAAAAGTTACCCATAAGCGCTTACAGATGGTATGTAAAATGCCTAAACAGATAAACTTCCATTTGCACTAGGTGTTATCCATGGCAGGAACCATTGAACCAATGGAGCATTATAAGCATGACATGTGGAAGAGATAGAACAGTCACTCATTTAGATGGGAGAAGTAAAATGGAGGCAACAGAAGCAGATATTTCTAAGCCACACAAGGTAAGTCTCAATTTCATGGTATATCTGAAATAAAAGGTAATCTAAAAACCCGCTCACAGTTCTGGCCTGTATATGAAGTTTCAAAGATGCTGTATTAGTAAACTTCAGTCAAAGAACTGTGACCTTCTGGTTACCCTGTAGAGCATCAGAGAGCCCGTGGTTTTATTCTTTATTTGAAATAACTCAAGGGGATGAGAAAGCTGAAATAAGACTCACGTATTTTAAATAACTAATTCTAATAACCTTTAAATTTCCCCAACTGGTTGTTGTAACAGTAATATCTCCTTGTACTTGAGGTCTTGAATAATAGGAATACAAAAAGGTAATAGACAAACATAGAAATTTCCTACCATTGTAAATTTATATTTTACATCATCATAGAAATCAAAAACACATTTGAAATTACACTGCAATGGCTAAAAAAATATTATAGGTTTCTTAAATTAGATCAGGCCAATTCGCTTTTTGTTTTTCAACCCAGAAAATCTACTCTAGACTTGTATAGTACTAGGTACTGACCACAGTAGAAGAAATAAAGTTACATGTCAGAACTTTATGAAAAATAGCTTGGGACATTTAAATATATATAGTCCCCAAATCAAGGGAAATATGTACAAACCTAGTTTTAGAAGGGATCCTCATATAAGAATTAATATAATATATTCTACTAATTCAGGGAAAGCATAATTATATTTAATGATTTACTGTCATTTGAGGGTTCTTTGGTCTTACCCACTAGGCAGGGAACTTCTTCAGAACTGAAGTGTCTGAATCTTTGCTTTATCCAAAGGACCCCACAGAGTGTCTTGTTGTATAAGGCACCCAAAAATATATTGTTTTAATGAATGAGCAAATGAATAAATAAATAGTTATGGAAATACAGAGAGGATTTCAATTGCTTTGGTCTAAGCTCTACACTAATCAATATGCAGAAATGTCTCTCTCGTAATTCTCCAAGCAAGGGATCTCAAAATAAAATACGGTTTTCTAAACGGGGGTGGGGGGGAAACACTTTAAAGGATACTTTACATATCTTCCTTATAAAACCTGAAAATCATGTAAAAGAATTAAAAACAAGTAGAAGATGTAGAGATTTCCGTAAAATGCAAAGTTTACAAGGTCTTAAAATGTGAACTATATAAGCATCACCATTCGGAGCATCTTGGAGGAAATAAATGCATAAATGGGGGTATTTTAAAGACACTTTAAAGTAAGAAAACCTTCACATCAGTAACAAGGTAAAATGGCATTTTTAAAATTATTTCTCCAGTTATTATAAAAGCACAGAAGCTATTGCTTCCCTTCTACATTGCTCCTGTTTAAGTCAAATCAAATATCATATGAATCATGATCGGTCAATGCACAATTAAAAAAAGAAAAGAAAGAAACTTTCAACACAAATGTGCCCATGGTGACTGTCTTCCCATTGTTCAAGTCCCCTCTTTATAAAGTCCAACTTCAATTCCTCTCCCTTGTCCAAAGTTCCCTTCAGCGGTACCCACTGGGCCCAAAAGCCAGACTGAATCTTATGAAGTCGCCACTTTTGCAGTCATTCCCAACTTGAGTGAAACCTTGCACTGAGATTAACTAAACTCTAAGAATTTGTTCAGTCTCTGCCACCTACTTGGGTGCGGGAGGGTGGTGTGGAAAGAGGATGGACAAGAAAACATCCCTCACCAAACTGAAACTCAACTCTATTCTCTAGACGTGTCTACACCCTGCCAGCTCCCCCTTAGCTCCCTCCGGTTCCTGGTTCTGGACAGGTGGGAGGGGGGTGCGCATGTCGGGATGAGGGTATGCAACTAACTTTCCACCACCACCTCATTCCCGCCCCCACCCCAAATCAGGTCCAGCTAGTAGCTGAAGCCACCAGGTAGGGTTGTCTGCATCCTCCACCCGCTCTGGGAGAGGGGTGGGATGGGGAGGATGGGGGGCGCGCGCGTGGGCAGGACGGCAGTGGGGTGTTTTGAACTGCAACTCTTCTTACCACTGGAGCGTCTGACGATGTTCTCCAAAAATGTGTTCTGCGGTGCCACCAGCCCTCTCTTGCCCCCCGGCATCCTGGGTCTGGAGAGCGGAGGCCAGGATCCGCGGCGGGGGAGGGGGGGTTGCAGGAAGAGAAGGTAGAGGAAGAGGAGGAAAAGGTGGAAGAGAAGATGGAGCCGAAAGAAGAGGGGGCGCGGCGGCGGCGGCGGGGTCCCCAGACTGTGTCTCCAGCCCGACCCGGATGAGCAGCTCTGGGGAGGAGGAC